GTGATTTATTTTTATAGTATTTTTTTTGCATTTTCTTTTGGTCATCTTCGTAGTTGGACAGATATGTAAAATGTCAAACTTATTTATTGCTGCCAGATTGATTTGAAAAAAACGACTAGACCGCACAAATGCTTGCAGTACCTCATTTTAAGAGATAATCAAAAAATATATTATCAACACTAATGATTTATTATAAATATTGTTTAATACTCACTAAAGCTGTTAAACATAAAAATCTTAAACTTGCTTATATTTCAATAACCAATTGCGCATGTGTCTAACTCAAATTTTCGTTACATACATTAGTTGTTCTGTTAACTTAATTGTCATTTAAATATAAATAAAAATAATTCCGAAAGTGTGAAATGATTGTTCTTTGAAGTGATTTATTTAATTTATTTATTTTAAAAATAAAATCATTGATCTACTTATTTAATGAAAATATGCAAATATTATCAAAAAACCAGTAGAGTTGCCATTCAGAGCAAACTATATAAATCAGCAAATTCGTCTAATTTTAAATAGTTTCGGAACTGATTAAATTTAAACAATTTGGTTAACTTTTCTATTTAAAGTCTAAATTAGTTTGTTATACGCTATTAAAATACAAACACATTAAATTTTTATTTTTTACTGGTGAGTGGAAAGCATAGAAAGCCACAGTGTAAGATTTGAACACACTGAAATCATATCTCAACAATACAAAGATTCAGCTTCATTCCAGTTATAATGAAAAATACAAACATCAGGAAACAGAGGACCTAGCATTTAGACAACAAATAAATTTAAGCCAAAGTTGAATAGGGAGGATCAGTAAAGGGAGGATCAGAGGATGTTATTGTTAGGTAGTAAAACTTGATCAGAAGTAAACTCGTAGTAAACTCTGAGTAAGAAATTATTGTAATCACGATTATAGAGGAGGATTGCATTAGAGAAATAAACGATGTTGTCCAGATAAAGGTATTGGAATTGAGAAGGTTTGTACATTCCATTATCAAGTAGGTCGATGGAAAATTGAAACTCAGTGAAGTATAGCAAGGGGAAATTAAGACGTCTGGTGTTAGGATTATTAGAATTTCCCGGGAATATCTAGATGTAGTGTAGAACAAGCAATCATGGTCAAATAAATTTCTTTAACGCTGCAATAGGGGACAGGAATGTTCGAAGTAAAAATATTAAAAAGCAGTATATTAAGAATGCAACTTCAGCAGCGACTGGTAAGGTTTTGGAACGAATCCGAAACTTAGTTCTGTTGATTATGATTTCGTAAACTTCAAAATTTATCTTATGAATATCGTAGTAGGTGAATTTGAAAATAATTAGCATCAGACCGTTGTTAGAGGTGGATTTACGACAACTGATTTTTCTTGTTAATGAGTAAAAAATTCCTTCTTATTCGAACTTTGCGTTAAAGTTAGCATTAATTTTATCTATAATTTTTAATATATACTCTAATGAATATAACTCCAAACAATGCAAGAATATTGAGGCGAGTTTTACACTTTCTCGCAAAAAAAATCGTTTTCCACTTTTTCCTTTGCTTCCCTATTCGCTAATCCCTGAAAATTAAACTGAAAACACTTAAACTTTAACTTTTCTTAGCGAAAATTACTGATAACTTGAATTCCAAAAATGCAGAGTTAATTCTTAACTGGCTCAAAGTAAAGTCTATTTTTTTACTATAAATATATAAGTATAAATTAAGAAAAGATTTTTTTTTAAAATATTTTAATTTAAAATATTTATTTATTGTTACTTCTTTAATTCGTTTATATTACATCACCCTTCTCAAATTGCTAATATAGTTTTATTTAACATTTGTTATATATTAATTTGTTACCTTTAAAGTAAATTCAATATTATTGCTTTTAAGTTTATATATCGTTTATATAATATAATTGAAAATTAATTGAAATTATGAAACGTTTTCTAGTTTATAATGTACTACATAATTTTCGTGCTACAAAAAGCGTAAAAAAGTTTATACATTATTTATTTTTTTTATATTTTCGTCAAACAATTTAAATAAATTATTAATTTTTTTTTTACTTTATAACCATTTTTTTCCGATAAATAATTAATTGTAATTTAATTAAATATAATATTTAAAGCTTTTACTTTTTTACTTATATATAATTTTATTTAATCTTTATTTTGTTTATTGAAAAGTGCGAAAAGTTGTTTTTTATTAATATATCATTTGAAATAATTAAAAATTATTTAATTTACTTTTAAGGTTTTAGAAGAGTCAAATATAATGTAATATTCGAAAGATCAATTTAATTTTTAATAGATACTAAATAATAGTTACAATATTTTAACATTTATACAGTTTTTAAAATATTTAAATTGATTAAATTTTACATTGGAAAATACAACATAATTATTGTTTTTAGCCTTAAGTTTATATTATTTATTTTGAAATTTTTTTTAATCATTTTAAAACTTTTTAAATTAATTTAAGTATACCAAAATATAAATAGTAATTGTTTCTTTTATGAAGTAATATCTAACTAACATATGTATATTAAAATTTGGGGTATTCATGATGTTAGGTTAACGGTTGTTTAACTATTTGAATAATCTATGAATTTTTTAAAAAAAATAATATTGAATAATATGCGTCTTCGAATTAAAAATGTGGGTATTATGATTGTATATATACATAATATACTTATGTATTATAATTTCAAAAAATCGTGTATGCACTTTTTTAGTAAGTTCTACACTTTTTAATTGTCTCGCTAATTTATTTTAAAATTTTTAACTGCAGTCAGTTTGACAGCAGATACAACAATTATTCCCAACACACTATAAACAATAAGTTTAAACTGAAGAAATACATCCTTCAATAATTATCATTTATTATATTATATTGTATTTATTATGTTATTATTATGTTATATTAACATTATATTATGTTAATATGGATATAGGTGCTTGAATTTGTCATTGAACCTATTCAATAAGATTATTCTATACTTTTATTCACTGAGATTATTCAATGAGATTACTAAACACCATTATTTACCGAAATTATTAAATAAATCATTAAATATGTATATAAGCAAAAAAATGATTAAGCGCACTCATTAATATTTTTATTAAATAAAATAGACTTTGTTCAGTTTACTATAATAAGTACATTTTAACAGCTGGAATGTATTGTATATTCGACATCTTTATGTTACACAAATATTAACCTTATATCACGAATACTCTAATGCTAAATTCACACCAGAGTTTTGTTTTTAATTTTAGTTGTCAATAATTTTCATTTTGGATTGAAAGCAACAGCAATGGACAGTTGAAATTACACACACTCTCGTGTGAATCCAGTATAAGTTAAAACTAACTCTTCAACTTAACAATTAAATAAGAAAAATGTCAATTTAAAATTACTAGAAAATATCAGTATTAATTGGAAATAGCAGTAAATTAAGGGAATTCTATATTTTTATAAATAAATAATTTTCACAAAGATAAGTTTTCATTATTTCAAAAAAATTAACTACGTATATATTAAACTTTTACTACTTCAATTAAAAATTTTAATTTGTTTAGCTGTTAGCTGTGTTACGAATATAATAAGTAAACCTCTTTACACTAATTTGCGTTCTAATAAAATTACAAACTTAATTAAATATTAATATAAACATGCACTTTGGTTAGGGTATCTAAATTATTTGAATGCTTCTATCAATAATAATTAATTTACTTACTTAAAGTTTATATGTGGTTCATTACAGAAATCCATAAGGGCACAGAAACCAATATAAACATCACTAAATGTTTGTGGCTTTCAATGAAATCATTTGAAATTCTGTATTTTCATTTAGGTTCATTATATATAATTGCACAATTAGGAGTATAAGACACAAGAATTAATTAACACTGCTAATTATATAGTATAACTATAATTTAATTGAAAACATACGCACATCAGCAGTTCAATTACACTTTCATATAATGTAGCACTTTGGAGAGCAGACATGCCAATAATAATAATAATACAATAATAATAATAATAATCATAGTCACCATTAAAATAGAATAGGCATCGGGCTAATTGCATTAAAATTGAAATAATTTTCAACTCTATAGGATTAAGTATATATATATAAATAAATAAATATATATATATATGTAAATACATATTTCAATATAGCATAAATGGGTATTAGTAATAAACAACCCTTTATATTTTATGAAGGTACGCATAATTGATTGTTGCACGAAAAGTTGCTTTCTGTGCTCTCTTGTATTTATTTAATTTGCTATTGTATATTTTGCTATAATATATAAAGAATTAATTTGCTATAATATAATTGAACTATTTGTTGGTTTACAATATAATAAATATGCATAAATAAAATTGCTATGTCTATATATATATATATAATTCTCATTCGCTTTATAGTTTATGTATCATTTCGATATATATTATCTACTAACAATTTAATTTTTATTTTAAGTTAATCTTTTAATAGCTTAAAATTTAATACCACAGTCGAAGAGATTTTCACTTTTTATTTTTATACTAATATACATAATTGTTTTTGTAACTAACAATGTATATTATATGTATATCTTTTACAAGATATCGCTCACAATACGCTTTGTTTTGTATCTTTATTTTCTTATATATACTTTTTTTATTCATAATTAATTAAAAATTTTTAAGTACTCAGCAATTTGCAATAAAAGTGTTTAATAAAGTGTTAAGAATTGTTTATTTTTCTTTTTTTTTTGTTTTGTAGTAAAATAAGTGTTGATAACTGTAACAATTTATGTTAGGAGATTCGTTTGAATCCATAATAATTATTTATTGTATTAAATATTTATAAATAATACAATTGTTAAACGAATATTATTAATAAAATAAAATCATATCTTTTCGTACAATATTTTTGCAATAAAATTTTTGTTAAATTGTTAAAAGTTTTTTGCAGAGCAATTTTATATATTTATAGTTGTTTTTGTTTTTCGATATATTTTAAAAAGAATTAACAATTGAAACTAATTAAAAATATAAATTTATTATAGTAACTCATCAGATTTCCCATATGAAGGGGTCATAGTTCCAAATTTGTGCCCATTGCATTACTTATAGCGCTAGCAGTTGTATTTGTAAAACTGTCACATGATGTGGTAGACATCCATTCGAAGTCCCTCAGGGTTGCCTTCGTGTTGAAACGAAAAATATATAAAAAAATATATACAACGTTAGAGATATTATAATAATTAAATCATTTATTAAAAATCATGAGATATTTTTCTAGTGTCTAGATATCTAATATCTAGATATTGAGATATTAGATTAAGTAAATTTATACAGGGGATCCAAAGAGGATTCACTAAAGTATATTGTTCAATTGTATTTCAGTATAATAACAAGACTCAGCGTTTAAAACGACCTGGACATTGAGATATGAATACAATCATCATCATCAGCGTTACAGCTCGGGATGAGCTTTAGCTACATCAACCAGCTTTCTCTATTCTGATTTGCATGTGGTTTTTGACCTCTAGCTTTAATGATGATATGAATACAATAAAATTTCATTTTTTTTCCATTTTGTTCTTGTTTTAAATTTTAAGCAACAATATCATGTTTCCACAGTTAAAACTACTTATGTTAATGAAATCAAGATTTGGTCGTTTTTATTGGTATAAGCTGATTTAAGCATTTGAAATAGCTTGTTTGTTTACATTTAATATATTAAACATACGAAAAATATTTTAAGTTTTGGTAATATCCTTTGTGGTACATTTATTTTTAAGAGTTGCATTCGAAAATTTTCACCTTTAATCAGTTGATTTATTTATAATGAACTCTTTTATATGGAAGCATAATGTATAGTAATTACCTTATAAGTGGCCTTAATGAGCAAAACTGGAAACATGGTATAAGTTAATTTAACTTTATATATTTCCGTATCTAAAGTGCTATACCCTACTGTACTAAATTCACTTGAATTTTACTTGAACAAATTTATCAAATTAAATTTAAATAAAATTGGAAAATAGCTGCTCAGTTCAAATCTTCTTCACAAATAGATAAACAATTCAAGCAACCGTTTTTGTAGGAATAAGTAAGAAGGGATCAGATAATTTAAGTAATTTAAAATAAAAATTTTATTATTATATATATAAAGAAATATAGTTCTCTGATACATTTTCTATCAGCCCCTTAAGCCATTCGATTTTTATACGAAAATTTAATGACTCAACAAGTCTAATCTATCCTATTGAGTGATTACCCCACGGTTAAGGGGTTGCAATATTTTTAAAATAAGGCATGTCTGTCATAAAAAGAGACTAAAATCTAGTAGGCACCACCCGATACATTTTGGAATATAATTGGTAGTGAGTGAGAGACGGTATAAATCTAGTACCACGGAGAATACGGTTCATAGTTTCGGCTATCCTGATCGTTTGAGGTTGGTCCTTTTAATAAAAATGACTGTATTCATTTTTTGTATGTGATGTGGAGTTGCATTTCCCAACTGAATTAAAGAGTGTCTTAAAGAACAGCTGAGGTGTTCGCTTCCTTACAAGGAAAAAACTATATCCAAACGTATTACTTCAATTGGTACCGATGAAATTTCTTAGAATTCCAATGTAGGCATTTATCGTTGTCTTATGCTGATAAGTATGTTTATATTTAATAAAGGTATACCATAAATTCTACTAAATAATGATATTTTCCGTACTTCTAGAGATTATATTGAAAGTATAATATATTGAATTAAAAGTATTCTAACACTTGAAAAGAAAGACTACATATTCCATAGAAAACAGGGACAAATATTGCGCGGGCAGAATTATGCCTAGAATTAAACTCTGCTCCAATTTTTGGATTAATGAATATCTTAGTTCTATAAACACCATCCTTCTTAGATAGTTTGAGCCATACTTTCTGGCTTTGAAAAATTAAGCTTACTTAAATATTAAGCTTATATGCTTCCCGCTCTGTCTCACCTAACCGCGGTTGCAATCTTCCATAACCATTTCTATGTGGTGGTTTTAGTGGCTTCTAGTCTCACACAGTGTGGTGAAAGGTATAAATCATTGCTTAATTGACGTCTTGTTTATGTTTAGGTCTTTAGTAATTTTGAAAGTTATTTATAGAAGAACTAAGCTTCAGTTATAAAATTTATATTTGGTGTTAAGTAATAATTAGTAAAATGAAAGCTACTTACCTTATGCATTGAATACACAGCAACGACAACTAAAACGTGCATTATATTATGTGAATTCAAATAGAAGTCAACCAAACCAGGAAACCATTTTTCGGGTATACGCATAGCGCCAATAGCACCGCCGAGTATGGAAACGCCATCCTTAAATACACAAAGCAAATGGATTGAATAAATTTCAGTATTTAAATTCTATGAAAGTATAAATTTAGCATAAAGCTTAACAAATTGTCATATAGGCCATCACACTAAATCAATAAGAGTAAGCCTCTTAGCCCCATACGTATATGTATGTAGGTACGTACTACGTAGGTATGTAGGTATGTTATGGTGCGATACTAGAATGTCAACAGAAATGATATGCATGTACTTAAATATGAGTTTGATTTTTCTGCTAATACCAACTTTGCACTCTAACCTTTTTAAATTATTAATGACTTTGCGAATGCCAAATAATTTGTCAAAATTTCTAGCAAAACCTCAAACACTAAAAACTCTCGCTTCATCAATATTTCATTTAATTTTGTTGCCTCAATAGAACACGGTTCTGTTCTGTTGGCAAAAAGGATTAAACTGAAAGGAATAGTAACACATATACGTATTATGTAGCTACATTTTGTTAAGGTACATCATTAGGGACTTTATTGACTTAATTGCAAAATCTCTTAAATATTCCAAGCCAACTCCATAAGGGAGTGACCTTTTAACACCACAAGGTTGTTGCTGTCGCTGTTGCTGTGGCTGGTACTGTTGCCGGATCCTTTCAGTCGTCTGTTTTTTACACGCAGTTGCTGTGGGGTACTGGCGTCACTTGGTAGCGTCACTTGCTGCTGTTTTTCCCTAAAGCTTGGCAAATATTTACATTTTGATTTAATTACACATTTCGAAAGTGAAACATATTCTCTGCTTGATGCGAGCGTGTACTGTTTATGAACGCGTTCTGTGTAAGCTTTACCATGGCAGATGGTTTTATTGTACTTTTACGCAAAGTCTCAACTATTCTCCTGCCAAATTGTGGAAAAAATTCATTCTGTGATGTAGGTCATTTGTGTTTGGAAAAAAAAGGTATCCTTTCGTTTTACTTACAATATGTACTCATTAAAAAATGAGCTCAGCTTTCATAACTTTAAGTAAAAGTGATAATAAGCCTAAATAAACTAAGGCCTAAAGTATCATTTACAATATAATGAATACTGCCAAATATAATTTTAAATAATTTATATAGGTACGTATATACCCGCCTATGTATAGAGAAAGCTTACAGAAGTAATAATTATTTGTGTTATACATTAATTTAACCAGGCAGTTAGGTACTTATTCAAGGAATCTTAAAAAGAAGAAATTTTATTAGATATTATGCAAATATATATATATAAATGTAAGGTTCCGTAAACTTAGTGAACAAATGTCAAGTAAAGTAATTGAAAGATTGTGAGGATTGCGGAGATTAAATATTGAGAGGTGTTTCATTTTATCGATTCATTTTATAAGCGTTCAAATTTCTGTTTACATATATATTATTCTACATAAAAGTAGGTAAAAATCCATATCAAAAAATGATTTTACTATTATCAATCTATTAGCCTAAACTTATGGGTTTGACCGTTTCTGAAATTCTCTGCAAGTCCTTGTAATCCTTTGAGAACTACAAAAAGCTACTGATGCCAACATGTTATCTATTAACTAGTTTTATCTATATAGAATCCAACTAAAAAAAATATATTAATTTGAATGTATATATTGAAATAGTGAATAAATTGTTGTTCGTCAACTAATGCAGGCCTTTATATCTCTCGAGAGTACTATATGTTATGTTATGTTAGCCATAATATAGTTATTAAAATTTTATTCGATTATGAATTTTATGAGACCGTAAAACCTTGCTGGATTATTAAATTTGTTTTTAACGTCAATTATGACGGTTGTGCCTATTTTACCTAATATAAACTATTGTATTTAAAAGAGAAGCTTCAAACAGTAGTGAATTGTAACAACATATTTATTTATTTTTAATTAACTGAATTTTTGTCTGACTATACAGCTGAGTATTGTCAAATAACTATCGTCAGTGGTCTTGAAAATAATTCTTATTTAAATTCTTATTAGTTAATAATTTTTTGAGAGTGCAACTGCTGAAGGTCCTGCCAAATTTTTATTTAAAAATAAATAAAAAAAGTTGTTGTTATAATTCACTACTGCTCGAAACCTCTCTATAAAATTTCTATGTAATTTTGCTAAGTTTGTAACCTCACATAACTTACAGATTAAAGAGATTATATTATACTAAAGAGATCTCAACAACTGATAACCTTGTAGGGTTTATACTAAGTTTGGAGAACAAATAGTATGAAATATGGTCATTGTAGCAATATGACGCAAAGATAACTTGAAAGATCTCAGATCTGTATTTTTTTTTGTTGATTTTGAAATCAAGTCTTCATACAAAATGTATCGGAAATTATAGATAGTACGTAGCTTCTAGAATATCTTTTGCTAATTTTTGTAAAAAGCTGAACTTATTGATTAGTTTTCTTTTATATGTGGTTTGCTGTCTCGCGATCACTTTTTATAACTTGAATGCTATATTTAAAGCTCGAAATAATAACAATAGTGGCGTCAGAGCTGCCGCAATCTCTCCAATTCGGTGTATTTACAATAATAATGTTGAGTTGTTTCTTTTATCTCTTATCATTACTCTTAGCACTGATACCCCACAGACTTCAGTTAAGTTATCAACTGCTTTGATTTTGTCCTATAGTTGGGAAGTACAAGAACTGTCGCTCCACTGTTGGAAAGATCACATATTAATATATGAGAACATATAACTAATGAATGTGCCAATGAGGGCTTAAACTCAAACATATTGAAGACCAAATTAATGTGTAGCAAAGATTTTTATATAAATAACATGATTGTCACGAATTTGTAAGCTACACTTGTATGGAGTTTTCAAATCAGAAGGATCTTGGGGACTATTAAAAAAATTATCGGAGAAACAAGCAATTCTTTCAAAGTGTGAAATATTGATAATACTAAAACATACTTTTAATGTTTTTAATCTCAAATATGCACAATCAAATATTTAACAGAAAAGTACTTGTAATTATACAAATGCAGTTAAAGGTGAAGTGCTACTAATTTTTTATTTGCTAAAAGCGCTCTACTTGCATTTATTTCAAAAGCATTTAACTTTATTAAATATTAAATAAAACACTGACTTACAACTTCTACCTGCATTTGATTGAACATTTAAAAAATAAAAATAATCAACAATATTGAACATATATGAAAAATATTAAAATAAACATAAAAATTTATTTGCCAATAAAATATTTACAATATTCATATAATAAAAATTCTTGCACTTTTAACAGATATTAATTTAATATATCATATCTGTATTTTTTAAATAAATTTATTACAATTTTTTTCTATAAATATTGATTGATTAATATTAGTATTCGCCCAATAAATGATATATAAAAAGTACGAGTAAATTGAAGTATTTTTTTTTTGTGAACATTTTACGACTCACTGTATTTATTGAATAAAAAAATTACATATAAAAAATGTATATTTCAATAATATTTAAAAAATTAAAGTATATTTATTACAAACGCTATTTAAAAAAATAAAAACCAGATTGGTTGAAAACTTTTGGTCCTGATGAATGGATGACATTGTTTACAAAAAGAACATTTTGTTCTTTTCAGGTGATGACTTTCGTGATATATGGCAATAAACAGGGATGGTATTTCGATCATTAGTAGAGAAGTTATTTTGTATTTTGTAAAATAATATTTAGTATTAGTACATTAAATATTATTATTACTGAAAATTAATATTTCAGAACAGTAGACACAAAATTCAATCGTTTGGCAGGACCAAATACCTTTAAAAGTACAGACTAAATTTATAAGTTATAAATGCAATCTGTCATTAAAAAAGCAGTAATAATCTATTGGTATAAGAAATTTAAACATGGCCACAGTGATACCGAATACTTTCATCACCTAAACATCCCATTTTTACGGAACACCAACATATAATTTGCGTATTAGAAATATGTAGGAATAGTTAATATCATATATATAGATATATATTAGAAGTATGAGGACTATAGTCTATATAAACATTTATCCTTATCCATTAAAAAGCTACTAAAAAATGGGTGTACTACGTTTCTACATAATCGTTCAGAGTTGACAATAAATTACCTCAGAGGTTGATGATTTTAAGTGCTCTTTAGATACCCATATGCAATTTCATAAAAATGTATTTTTTCATATATCAAGCAATGAACCAAGCGTGTCTTCAACTACTGCCTTTCCTGTCGACCTCGTGCTCGCTATGTCCTTTGAATTACTCAATACCTCACGCTATACTTCGATGAACAGGACACTGATACACCCATCATTCCAATCTACAACCATGGCTCTCCTGAATCTGGCCACAGAGTCTATCATTAACCCACCCCAAAGCGCTTGCAAAATAACTCCACCCCCTTCACAAACTCGCCATCCACCTGTGTTATGCCCGGCTGAAATAAACCTAGACCTTTAGGTATTAAGCTCTTGACCATTTCTCTCCCCCTTAAATACTGGAACGAACTTTTCACATTGTGGTTGGAATCTCTTTCATTCTTTATAAGTAATGGTTGCAGTGGGTTAAAATCTGACACTGTGGCTTTCTACCTGTTGCCATCTGTAAGTTATGACTGTTAAATCTAATTTTTTTCCTTTGGCTGGTCGATGGATGGATTTTTGGAGAAATTTAGATAGAATGTGACTAAAAAAGGTCTTCAAAAATCATTTTAAATATAATGTTTAAGATTATATTTTTAGAATAAATATGGAGTTAAATAAAATTATAACTTTTTGAGTAAAGTTAGGTCTTGATCTATATAATGTCTTTATATGGTATATCAGACAAAAAAATTTTTAGTTAAGCTAAGACAAATTTTTAAACATATCAATATAATATATTATAGCAATACATTATAATATTATATTACAATGTTATATTATAAATATTATATCTCAAATTTAACATTATAAATAAGTATATTTATAAATAAATATATAATCATAATTGAATGCAATTCTTACTCCATATTTAAACATATATTTCTTTCGAAGTTATTAATTGTTTAGTCGGAGACATTCACTATTATAATTTTTTATTCAAAACTTAAAAATAAATTTTTTTTATGTTAATAATTTCTTTTTTTTAATATTTTGATTATCATTTTAATCAAACCAATTTTAAGTAAATAATTCTAATTTGTCATAAAATCGTACTACTTTGCAAATTGTTGAGCAAGACTTTTTATTACCCCAAGGACTTTTTTATTATTTCAATTTGGAATGCACAGTACTAATGTCATTTTGATTCCTGAGCAATGATAAAGAGATTAGGAGCACTAAAACGAGGATAAAAAATAACGCAAAAGAAAGTGTGAATTGTTTCTAAAAATAAAAATAAAACATTTTATGTCCTTTTGTGAGAAAAAAATAACAGTCCTAAAAAGTAACTGCATTTAGAAAATTAAATTAAATTAAATGCTCTGTTATTTTTTTATTAAAGTTCAAATGTGAGTTTAAAAGCATAAATAAAAAATTTAAAAAGTTTTTTCAGAGTTTAAAATATAAAACTAAAAGTAAACGAACCAAACACGTCTTTCATTCTATCGATTAAGTTATAGGTTAACTTAGGAGACACTTTCCTGGCATAGTACAATAGATTTTATAGATCAACTAACGCTTTAAGAGTACGTTTAAATACCCCATTGTTTCTCATCCTTATCTATTATATTAGTTTCATCTAAATGACTTCAACGAAGAATCACTTATCCCAACATATGTTACTTTGGGGTTAAGTAAGTATTTAAGAAATAAAGCCCTCCCCCGATAAACAAAAATAACGCTCTATAAGTTTCTTATCATGCCATGCCTTTACTGTAATAAGAAGGCGTTAGCAGCATTCGAGAGAAAAATTCTTCGCAAGATTTATAATCCCTTACGCGTTGGCAACGAGTATTGAATTATATGGAATGATATGCTATATGAGCTATACCGCAACATTGACACAGTTAATCGCATAAAAATTTAGTGGCTTCGTTCGATTGGTCATGTCATGTGAATAGAAAAAAGTGGTCTGACTAGAAAGTTGTTTAATTCGGTACTCGTCCGTATATTCGCTGGAAGGATCAGTTGATTAACGATGTGAAGGTACTCCGTACAATCAATTGGCGACAGCAACCACTTACCAAACTGGCTGGTGGAGGCTACTAAACGTGACCAAGAATGACTCACGTCTGTACTGGTAAACTAATTAAGTAAGCAAGTAAGTAAGTTTAAATGACTTCTTGAGGGTATTTGATTCCTGTTAAATTTAAATAAGAAAATTGCTTAATATTCATAAATGATAAATACTATTAAAATTTCCTTTTTAATATCTTCAAACGTCTTTAAAACACATAAAAATATATCGCCAATACTGATTTAAAAAAGCTTTCAAAAATTAACAACCATAAAAATATGTCCTTTTTATTAACAAATTTAAGAAGATTGTCTACAATGTGAATGCAGTCCCCTAAAAGTATACCTTAAATTTGATTTCTTTTTTATATTCTACCTTTATTTTTCATTGTTTGAAAAACCTTCATTATCCTTTTAAATTCTATTCTTTTTTATTTCTTTTTTTTTGTTTTTGTTATTTTTTTTTTTGTGATATTTTCTTGCGTTATTTTCGCTTGCTGTTTGTTTATTTGTCTGCAACACTCTTTTCAACACTCACCTGCAGGTAAACATGTGACAATGCCACTCGATTTCCTCCCACCAGACCCAGAGTGCGCAAAACTGTTAGAATCGATCGCATGGTGAAGGGCATTGCGAAACAGAGACGGCGCTGCCATGGTGAACTTGCAGTTAATGCCTAAAGTAAGTTAATAAAAATAAAAAAAGGATAAAAAAGTAAATAAAATGTTATAATTTTATGGTTACTTTTTTATATCATAATATATATTTTTTTTATTTTTTTTTGTGTATTGGTGTTGGTGTTGGTGAGGCTTAGATTGAAAATTGTCGATAAGCGAAATTTTTGCAGTAAAAATTTATTTAAATATAATTTTTCTTTTAGTATTCAAATGCAAATAAATTGGTTGCTAAAGTAACAAATGTCCTTTTTTCATTATTGTTCCGATGAAATAAAAATAAGGTAATTCAAATTTTGGGTGACTTTGTTGTTATTTTTCATTTATTTTTTAATTTGTGTTTATGTTTTCCTTTAAGACATTCAAACTTTTAATTGAAATTGTCAACAATGAATTATTTATCTCTTAATAAAGATTGATTAGTAAGATAATATTATATCCATCTGTCGAGAGTTTTTTGATTCCTTTAATGTTTGCGATTTCATCTAGAACTTATTTCATCTTTATCTAAAAAAAATTAATATAAATAAAGAGTAACCACAGTTTCAGAGGGTATTTTACTAAGGTATACGCATAAGGTATTACTAAATATACGCATATTATGAACCCAAAAGTTACTTTGGACCTTTAATAAAAAGACAATACTTTCAATGCCTATGCTATTGATATCAGACAAGAATTTAAGGAAGAGATAACGAACCGTTGACAAAGTAGATGAGTAAATTATATTCTTCAGATGATCCACAATACGATAGAAAGCAATGTTTTTAATCTATGCACAGTGTGAGAAGTGTAGAGCAGGGATAAAAGAGATGCGTAAGACGTCAGCAGTAGTCATTTTAAAAGATCATCTAACCGATCACGTTGCTTACCAATGAAATAGCATCCTACCAACACGGAAATTGTGTTGGACATAGAGTGGTGAGTATTACAAACTAATTGCCGAAAATCTTTTATCTGTAGTTAGAAAAGTGCACTCATTGCGCCATCTATTGTTTGCAGTTGAAAATTTGGCCGACGTGTAGTCAATTTAATTAAAGTTAAATAGTTTTCCACACATGATATGATTTTTAGGATGGCATACCGCACGACATTTCTGGCAAATTTTTCGATCCTATAGTTAGTAGGAATATTCTTATGATTTAAAACCTATGAAGGCCATGGCAATCTTTTTGAGAGATGTACGAAATTCCGATATAAGCTAAGCTGTTGTGAAAATATCTTCTTCTTCGAAAATAACTTCTTCGTTGTCACTAAGTTTAAAAATATTCCAGTCAAATATTTCAAAGACATTAAATTGGAAGATTTAGAACAGCAACTTATGTCGAAAAAACTTATGCTATATTGTAGTAGTATCTGCTACTCGGAAAGATAATTTAAGTCTGTGTTCCTCAAAGAACACATCAGCTTGTTGTCAAGTTTAGAGTATTCTGAGCAAATTTATAAGCCCCCCATTGTAATCGCTTTACCTTTAATCCAATCTTCCCTTTCAGAAACAAGAGGTAAAAACTTATGATATTACTTTTCACTTTCTTTATACCATCAAATAGACGAGGCATAAGAACGCAACCAATATTCGTAGCGATTTTATATAAATATTTTAGTATATGATACTATTTTATGTTCAATCTTGAGCATTCGCAGATGATCTGAACGCTGATAAGTTTGCTCTAACTTTTTATTGAATATATTAATATAGAAATAAATTTCAGTGCTTAACTAACAACACGTAGATATATTGTAACTATATATTTAATATATTAAAATAGAAATTTAATTATTTCACAATTATAATTATAATTATTTCACAATTTATAATAAAAAAATCCGTTTAGAAATATTTGATAAGATGTATCGAAAAAACAATTAATTTTAAAGCACAAAAATGCTTAATTGAAGCACTTTTACAAATACTGCTTAAATATTAATAGGTATTTTTTGGCAGGGTATAGTTAAAGAAAAGAGCACATGATTGTCTATTTTATTATTTAGAATAATTTATAATTTTTTAGATATTTCGTCTTCTGATGTTATACAAATTTAATCAACAGTTAAGTAAAAAAAATGTTCTTGATATTGTTCTTGATATTATGTTATATAAGTTTTTAAAAATAATTTAAGTTATTATAGCAAAGCACATAACTGCAACTTTTAATCATAGTCACAAAAACCTGACATTAGTAGAAAGTCTAGAGAGATCACTTAGTTCTAAATTTATATTAAACATACATGTATACGAAATTAATTGAAATTGAATTCTCTTTATAAACATTTTTTAAGGTGTCTTAAAAAAATGATTGAAATCGAAGTACCATAATGCTATAATACAGCACTTTAACAAATATTATTGTAATATTCACAAGTTAATTATGGTTTTCGCTACCCCGGTGAGTTAAAGGTTAGGATATTCCCCTAATATGATTATATGATAGTCATATATAAGATGACTAAGTTCTACAGATGGCAATATTAAACTAGTTAAATTCTTTATTTCAGAGTATACTATTAAAGATTTGAAGAGCCTCTCTTGCTCTTATTCCTCAACATTGTTTAAATCGAATAGTTCCAGTAACTAAACTTGATTAGTAGATATAAAATTCCATTTGTAGTTGTTGTTTGTGATAGTGTGAATAGGATTATATATGGTAGTTATTTAAGGTAGAGTATTAGATATACTTAATCTGGGGGGACTCGATAAATCAATATTTGGAATAATTTTATTATACGTAGAATTTTTTCGAAACTTAGTAACCAAAATCAGTTTAAATATATCTTATTTATATAAAGTGTAGAAAGGAATTATGTGAGAGAAATAGTGATAGATGGAAAAAGTTATGTGATCTTTGGATTTTAAATTTACTACATGCTTTTGATGATTATTATAAACTCTTATAAAAGTATATTTAAGACTCACTGCAGTCTTTGTGTTTTTTAACGGGTCCTAATCGAGTAAGTCAATTTAATTCTTATTATAAAGAGTTTGCACAGAAATTCAAAAAAAAACTTTTAAAAATATTTCACAAATAATTTAAGTTAAAAACTCGTAAATGTTAGGGTAAGCTTATCTCTTATTATTAATTATATAATGCTATAATTTTTAATTACGTTATTCGTTACCTTATAAAGGCCCCACAATGATAACAGGCAGTAGGAAGTAATTATTAACCACTTCCATTTATAAGAAAAGCAAAAAGTCGCTGCTGTCACCAACGGCAAAGCACCTGAAACATACAAAGTAAAATAAAAAAAAATCAATTTTTATTAAATATAATATAAGGATTTTAATCTAAATTTAAGTTAAAAATATTACAGGAAAGAAAATTGTAATGGTATTAATTCATGTTTTTATTATTTTTTTAATGTAAATAAGTAAAAGTTACATTTAATAGATATTTATTTCAATTAATATAATTCCTTTTGGAATTAATAATATTTATAATTAGAGCTATATACTCATTAGTTTTTAAAAAATATTTAATAAAATACTTAAAAAAATTTGTTAAAGTAATTAAGTGATAAACTAAATATATCTAGCTGCATATGAATTGAACAACTAAACTCAATCTACACTAATTACGAAATAAAACCCCTTACTACACACATGCAAGCAGTCAGTGTTAAACTGAGCTTTAAAATAAATGCAGTCAGTTATAACGACATTGAAGCGATTGAGTTTATCCGATTGTTATAACTAATAATCGTTATAAGCAGTAGTACAACACATCGACTGACTAGTCCGTAGCTTAACATATTACTAGCTGATACACAGATTAGTAGGTCAGCATATGAACAACACTGAAAACCACGTCTCTCCCATTCAAGTGAAAGTGAATCAATATAACGAGTCTATAAAAGTGAGCGAGTTTCTAAGTTTGTTAGATGGTAAGAAAAGGCGCCCCAAAGATCAATGATGGACACGAATGCATGAGATTTAGTACAATTTTCTTCTCATCCACAGAGTCATAACAGTGACAAAAATCATAATCGGGTAAACTCAGTCTATAGCATGTCTGGCTAGTACACATTGTCCCATTATCATCATTATGATACCGTAGTGCTCGTTACGTTTTAGATAAAACAGCTGACTGTTACGCTTCATGTCTAGTTATAACCAGAAGTCAAATTTAATATTTTATCAAAATATGGTTGCAATAAACTATTCACTCTTATAACAATGTCGCTATAAAATTTTACTAATTATATGTGTGTGTATGGCAAAACATATTTGTCTTTAAGTAATGGTCGTTATATCGGGTGTCGTTCTAAGTAAATTCTATTGTACAAAATTTAAATAAAAATCAAAGTACCAGCTAACAGCACCATGAAAGTATATTAAAGAAAAATATAATTATGCAAAAACACATATGTCGGAAAGCATTGTGTATATATGGTGAAGGGTACTATACATGTAAATATTTCTTTTACACCTTTTCACATAATTTTTTAATTACTTTAAAGAAATTAAATTAAATATGAAAATTTTATTTTATTGCCCTGTTAGAAATGTTAAATTTTGCCAACAAAATTTATAAGCTAATAAAAAAAAAACAACATTGCTTGTATTGCAATTTCTTTGCGCTACTAAAACTTCTCCCAAGAAAATGTCTTTGCATGCTTTAAAAAAGGTCAATGTTATACGTTATTACATTAACATAAGCACACACACATACATACAAAAAGTCTTACACATAAGAACCTTAACATTGATTTCGGTATGTGCTTCTGGCTTTGGCGTACGAGTATTTTTGCTACTGAGTGTAATTTATGGCTCGGCTTGCTGCTGCGTTGTCATTCGCCACTAAATTATGCACATTTATGTGTGAAATAACAACAACAGCAATGTTAAATAACAATGTGTATGTGTATGTTGGCTCATTAGACTATTTTTATATGTGTGTGTTGGTGTTAAAATGCCTCTTTTTTATTTGGTTTAAAATGTTAAATAATGTACATTTCGGTCCATACACTCGCTTTGAGCATGTGTAAGTGTATGGCGTGCATGCGACTGTTTTTAATATTTATGGTGCAGGATATCCTTTTAACTGTAATTTAAATGTTGCTTTTGCTATAGCAAATTAAATTGCAAAAATAAACATGCATAATTCATTAAAAATAATAAACAAAGAAAAAAAAATAATTGTAATTAAAATAAATTTTGACAATTTTGGCCTCACATGGCGTATGATTAATGCAAAAATATAGAAGCTCTTCGAAGATTGATGTGATTTGATAAGGGTCTGTCATACTATTTAAGCGATTTTGTTTTTGACATCAAATAATTTTTAATAAATTTGCATTTACACATATTTCAAATTTATAACAAAACAAACAGTTTTTTGTTTTAATATAAATTATTATTATTTTTATAGGCAACACAAAATTAATTCAATGTAAACAAATATTTAAAATATGATTTATTTATTTTAGCAAGTATAATTTTAATTGTAGTTATTAAATATAAATTAAATTAAAATTAATAAATTTGAAATATTTTTGTTTGTGTATGCTTTCATATACAATTTTTTCTGGTTTTAAAAAAACTTTAATTATTATAACAATACAGTCAAACTTCCATAACTCGAACTTCTATAACTCTCATTTTCTATAACTCGAACGAAATAGAAAGCAACAGGGTTAAGAGAGCAATAAACATAGAATTACAAAAAATGTTTAACTCGAAGTCTCTATAAGTAGAACTTTTTCTTTGCAAAATGATACTTCGAGTTATGGAAGTTTGACTGTAGTTTTTGATTTTAAAATAATTTTATTGACTATATTTGACTATATTTGGAAAAAATTTTAAACTCAGAAATGCAAATATTAATAAAAATATTTTGTTGTCGACATATAATCAATGAAAAACAAATAAAATTATAATTATTATATTGATGATGATTATAACACTTCTAGTTTAAATAAAAGTTAATTTTTGTATCAAAAAAATATATAAAATATGTATAGTTATATAAAATTTATATTGTAAATAGGATAAGATTCGAAAATAAGAAGAGAAGAACTGCAAGTTGAGTATAAGAGCTCAATATTTATTAAGTCCATAGATAATTTAATAACATTAATGATGAAAAATGATTTGGGACATATGACTTCCATGCAAAGACGTAGCCAGCATTGTACCAGGGAAAAAACATAATAGAAATATGTTTTTGTCATTGTTTCCGTAGTATTTATTTACCATGTTCTACCTTCTAATCGGCCCCCTAGAAATGAGTTTACTTCCATGATTTCGTCTCAGCAACTGAATCAATCCGATACATGCTGTTAAGTTAGTACTGATTCTGATCAATGCCAAATAGAAAGAATATGACTAGAAGTCTCATCTTCTAGATAGAGCTAACTTTTTGTCACATCAGACAGATAAATTTAGTTGATATGGAATACAGATAAATTTAAATTCTAAGCTTTTAAAAAAAATTTATGAAATTAATAAATCTAATAATATTGTATTCTTATTATTTGGTATTCTTATAATACAAAGAAACCATAGGTAAATCATAAAAAAGTTGGGAATATATTTTTATATTATATGCTATAGCTACGGTTATTGCGAGGTAATTTCCATGAATACAAGCGTAAGCAGCCTACTGAAGTTTTGATGTGATGTTGTCCGATGCTCAGTTTAGAACTATTAGAACAGACATAATGTCGAACTTGAGATTGGAGATTGAGATTAAAATTGGAAGTATGTAGACTATGTCACTCTTGACCTGTTGGGGAAACATCAAATTAATTTCTGTTTCTTTGTGGTAAGAAGTGATCTTATATCAATCTATTCCTGTGGTTAGTAAAAGGGGTATTGGTACAGAAGATTTATTAAAAATATAATAACGATCATTGTGCTCGTTTCCTGCTGCTTCAAATAATCGGGACCCTAAAGTTACTTGGAATTGCTACATTCGTAAATTATCTTAGACAAAAGAAATTAAATTAAATCAAATCAAATTAAATAAAATTAAAATAAGTTAAAATAAATAAAATAATATAAAATTTAGTTAATAATAAACTAAATAAATTTTAAATAAATTGTCTTGAATGCAATTAATTTAAATGAAATTGAATTATCTTAAATTAAATAGAATGAAATTATGTTATATTAAGTTAAATTGAATAAAATAATATTAAATTATATTAAATTGAAAAAAATAAAGGTTTGCGAAAATTAAAAGAAGGAAAGAAAGTTTAAATTTTGACAATGTTCTTCGCTTTTTTAAGTCCTTTTCACATTCGTAAATATTCACACATGCCAGATTCAATTAATATGCGAAAGAGGAGGGTATTACCAGCAGCAGCCTCAATACAGAAGTGATAAAAAGTTTTATATAATTTTTTATTTAAAATGCATTCGAAAATAATCCTTGATAAATCCTTGTCCAAAAAATCCTTTTTTTTGACATGATGTATGAGTTATTTTTACACTGACAGTTTTAAATCCTTACTTCCAATATATTAAATGTTTACATTTACAGTATTCCGTTTTTTTTTTTTTTGGTTTATAACTATTGGATTTATATAATTTGTTTTCTTTATATTTATTTTCTTAACTATAATCAGATTTTCATAATGCCATTTGAATGGTTGGCAATATATACTTTATTCATATTTGTTTTTTCATTTTTTACGGTACATCATTTTGAGCAGTTAAATCGAATAAATCCTTTTAAAAAGGCAGCTCAAGGCACTTTTAACACCAAGCAAAAGTGTTTTACTTAAAGTTTATGCTTCACACACACTTCCTTTGGGGCAAATATTGTATTCAACCACATAAGCGGCACAAGCCATAGTTTTGGAGGGAAATAAGCTTTCCCACAGGTTAACTCACACTGTCTGAACTCACAGGTTATACAATCATCTACAGTTATTTTGTCTGCTCCTTAAAAATAACCCAAAAGGATCTTAACAAGTTTTATGTTTGTGTGTTAGGAACTTATTTTCTGCAATATTTTACACTTTTTTTACACTTTTTTACACTTTTTTTACACCATTTTACACTTGAGATATACTACATGAGTGAAAAGGTGAAATATTTCAAAGAATCCAAATGTGTGTTTAGATTGCACAAAAGAAAGCAAAAAATAGAGCAGAAAAGTAACGATTTTTAGGATTTCAAAGAAATTTTTCACAGTGTTCAAATCAATGGATAAATAATGCAGATGGACTCTCGTTTTCCTTTGGCAAATGCAATACAAATATTTTATTTAAATTTC